TGAGAAAGCGTAAGTTAGGTCACCGAACATTCGTTCTATACTTAGAACAAGTACGAGTTTAGCGGATCGCAATCCGCTTACTCCAAGAGTAATTATAGCCCTGACCCAAGGCTAATTAATTAAATCTGCGGTTTTAATACAAAACTGACTTTACTTATTTTTATATGCGGCAAAGCCGCCTAATTCTAAACGCATAGCTTTTCCCAATTATGTATAGTAAAATCTAAATACATGTATAACTACTGGCTATCAATCCCCGTTACCGTATTTTTGTGTGGCTGCGGTCACACCATGCCCATCTGGTGTGACACACACCCCTGTTCCCGGGTATGTGTAACCCCGTTACATGAAGTCCAAAACCTTAGGGTTTCCTAATTAATATAGTATAACCTAATTACTATATTTGAGCCTAATTAATATGCATCACTACTGGCAATAGTGGCTTCTTGTTACGTTATAGCCACACCCTAATGTGACACACTAAATTGTAGAATGCACACTTATGTGCATTTTACAATTACGTACATAAGTCTTGTGTACGGTCAGCTTTCATACAAGGGTACGTGTAACCCGTTACATAAATCTACTTAATGCACGCTTTGATTCGATGTTTGATACCATTGTCATTTTCATGCTCGAAAATGAACGTCAATGATCTAAACTTTAAGAAAGTCAATTTCAAGGTCTCATTACCACGTGTCCACTCATAGACTTTGCTCTTGCTTCCGGCATAGATGCCATCAATATCCCTCAAACCATATCCAATAAAGTTTGTCATCCAAGGGGCGTAAAAACTCTAGTAATGGTAACTTCTGCATGAAACGCAGCTAATAAAATGTTCCTGCGCAAGCTCATTATTGAAATTCTATGTCGTTCGGCAAGCAATCCAAAAAAAACATAAAAGGCGTACGTAACTCTATCAGACTTACAAGGATTCGTCTTACTTTTCAGTGTAGCTAATGTAGATATCCCGTGCTCGACTGCACTTTACGTTACGGATGTTCCAAAAACGTCCAGTAGGAGACTTCTGATCCTCCAAAAGCTCATTGTACATAGCTTCAATCCTTCAACAGCTAGAATGAAGCAGAAAGAAGAATCTCTGCTCACTTTTTCTTCTTGAGCATTTTTTTATTCCGCAAGTCCTCTCGATAATCTTCATACTCACCATACAGAGCACTACCAAAGAAAAATCAAGCTAATCGTTAGTACGAAGGTACCTGACTTGCATGACAAAATCCTTGTGAATTACCTGCGCTTTTCCTCTTTCTGGATCTCATCGAACGATGCTTCCATATTGATTGAGTCGTCTGAGTCGTACGAATACTGACGCTTTCGATTTTTGCGAAACATGGCAGCTATGTGGCCAGGACGATACTCGCCATCATCGCTCACTACAAAACTATCATCTGAATCTTCGTCTTCAAACGGATCACGACGTCGAGGACGCGGCTCTTTCAGAAATTGGTCACGCCGACGTGAAGAGGCAGCTGTCGAGTGTTTCTGTCGTAATTCGTCCAAAGCCTGTTGAATCAAACGATGATGACCTTTCTTCGGTACTAGAGATGGAAGATCCGATTTTTCGATCGTACTGAGAAGCTTTACGGAGTCGAACCCATTTTCAAAGAACGCCGAAGCGTATTCACTCATATCGACGGTCAACCCCTTGAGCCAAGACAGCACCTCTCGCTGACCTTCTGTATAATTTACTTCTTTCTTTCTTGCTGCTGTACTAGTTTTCTTTTTCGTTCCACTTGATGCGTTACTAACAGTTGAAGCCACTCCAACTCCACATACACGAGGATACATTTTATCCAGCATAGCCTTGCGTTCGACAAACGCAGGAGAAACTGCGCTTGATCCTGAACTACGTTTCGATAAGGACGAGCTGGCAGACCGCGAACCAGATTTCTTTCTACCATCCACTTGTGTGCTATTCCAGACATGCTCAGGATCTCGCCGAACATTGTCACTTCTCTTTTCTACTTGTCCCGAAAGTGCTCTGTACTTTAATTGGCGCTGTCGATGCCTTTCTTCTGCTGACCTGTAACATCAACATATAACCCTCATTAACATAACCAATGTAGTTCAATTAGTTTAATACTGCAATCATTAACGACTTACATATTGGCAGTGGATGAACCAGGACGCCTTGATTGCTGTTGAACTCTAGATGCAGGCATCACTCGACGTGCCGGAGGTGCTGATGCCGCTCTGTGAAGTGCAGTAGAGAGCGGCCGACGCTGTGCAGCGCTAATTGAGCTTCTTGACATAGTAGTAGATACTTTCGTACCCCTTCTACCCTTTGAAACAGGTCCACTAAGTACCTGTACTGTCCGTGAGTCTCTTTTGGCTTTCTCATACGCGTATCCTTCTTGTAGCTTCTTCCTCGCACTCTCCAATCTCTTTTGATCCTCTGCTTCTACTAGTCATGCATTAAAATACCATGTCAATTCAACGCTAACTTTCTTGTACCGCCGACATCGACTCACTTTGTTTAGGTGGCGATGGACTTGGTACACGTTGTCTCTTCGGTAGTCCATGGGATGACGTCGTCGTAGCAATACCCACCTGATTCTTCCATTTCTTTGTCAGACTTTGACTATAGCCACGTACAATCTCATCATCATGTTTCTTAAGTTTATTCACAGCTGCACCAATCTTTGTACGCTGCAATAAGTCTTTATCAACTGTCAAAGTCGTAAGTTTACCAAGCAGTCGTTGCATATCAGGCACAACACTTTTATCTGACGTCCATCCATCACGCTGTGTTATCTGTGCGATCTGTTGAGCCATAGCAGCAACATCCTTTTCCCCCGTCACAGCCATCACACTACAACCTTCTTCTAAACTCTTGCCTCGCCCTTTTGCGGCACGTGGTACTTTTATAACATTTAAAGCTTAGAGTGTGTGTCGCACATATTTTTGATATGATATAAATATAGCTTATGAATTTTTTATTGTGAAATTTCACATTAGCAAGTTTAACTAAAAATCTGCTCAAAAATTAACGATAGCTTCAGAAGCGTTTCTTGACTGAGACTTGAGTGGTTGTAATGTTTCGAGTGGCCACCGAGGATGATAACGTGCATCTTTTGGGTTACTGTATGCACCATGACCATACCACTCAAGTCCTGCCCAAGCAACCATGACAGCATTGTCAGTGCAATATTTTGCTGGTGGAAATACAGTTGCTACACTCTCTTCTTTTGCTACTGCTTCCATGCGACTTCGAAGGTATTGATTAGATGCTACACCACCACATATAACCTAGAAATGCAACAAAGTGAGAATAAAGATGAATGTGAAATCATTTGACGTACTATACTGGTGACTTTATCACCCATGCGCTCTTTGCTCCATTGACAAGCTCGTCGGACTCGAGTTATCAACTGATCTACTGCTCTTCGCTGAGAATCGAAGACCGTGTTAAGAAGCTATAAGAATATGATCTCGTATCTTCACGTACTTGAAAAGAAGCACAAAGGTCTTCTTTCGTCTTCTCGTTTACTTCATCAAGCTGTTTCAGCTTTTTAAAATGAGTTACAAATACTATCAAGAATATTATAGATGCCAAATCACCTTCTTGATCTCTCGAAGCATTGCTGTCTTCATTCCAGAAAAAGAAAAATTGCAATCCTACAAACCATCCATTAAATCAGCATCTAACACAGTAGAAAAGCAATTCTTACATTTCGATGCTTCATAGACTCTGTAAATAAAAACGCACGATCGTTGCCACGTGCTGCCATGTCCTCAATCAATCTCCCTCCATGCATTCCACTACCTTCTCTAGAAGCTGCGAGATCTAACATTCGAGCGACCTTATCAAAGGCTTCTCCAATGGAATCGTCAAGAGTGTTTCCAAGCAGTTCATAATCTCCCAAACCCTTCGCTAAAACAAGACAGCAGTGACCTCCAGACACAAGCAGTACGAGAAAAGGAAATTCCGGTCGTAGAAGAGCAAACTATTGTCATATACAAAGTCCATTTTCAGTAGTTTCGTACTCGTCATTGCACATAATGTAACAAACTTGTGGTAATCTTGAAACGAGAAGATGAGCCTGTCCTTTCGAACAATAGAACAACAAAGCTTGATTAGAGTCAATACCTCTATACTTGTATATACATAAATGTCATACTTCCAAGTGATTGATCGGAAGGAATGCAATGTCTTTGTTGTCAAGACAAATCTGTCGCGCCATTTGTAGCCCCACATTAAGACATGGAGCAAGTCCTGGACCAGATGTCACTGCCACCGCCGACAATTGCTGCAAGCTATCAATTCCACTATTCAAATAAAAATACAATCTATTGATTATATAATCACAACTCAAGGCAATTAACTATCTCACCTTTGTTCGACAGCAGCATTGATCACATGTGGCAAATTATCTGCATGTGCTCGTGCTGCAAGCGCCGGTACAATTCCTAAGCGTACAATACATCAGATAATATCAATTTCTTGCAATTATATCAATTCATAGTAAGTTACCTCGCCACTTGGCGTGTAGTTCCCATTGTGACGAAATGACACTACTAAGCACATGTCCATTTTCGTCAAGTATTGCTGCTGCTGTATCGTCACAACTACAATGATCAATAATATGACAGTTCCATCAATTCAAAGAGATTTCTCAGTAGAACTGCACTACTCTATACCTGGTCTCAATGCCCAGTATATACGATAAATGCCGCGTCGCCGTCGGCTGTATCCGCCGCAGTCTTGGCACCCATAGCATTTCTAATTCTAAGTAAATATTACAAAAAATTTAAATGTAATATGCGTTTGTAATAATATATCTATATTATAGTAGTAGCTAATCGTATACAAATAGTATATTAAATGTTGGAATACTATTGTAATCTTTTACCTCACAATCGAAAAGAAGTGAGCATGCGCATAGGCTATTGCGTTCCTCAAATTCTTTCGTCTTGCCTCCTATACTTTGCTTAAGTTACAGCAGCATTTAACGTATATGAAAGTCGTTCGTTTTCTCCAGCAAGAGCTTGTTAATGTTGCACAAGAAGATGACGCTGTACAAAACGTGAGTGACAAGAAACAAAGAGCAACACTACACAAGTCGAAAACAATGCGTTGGAGTGAGTATATGCCTGATTCAGATACTGTATACAATACAAAGAATGTTGCCGATATGCACTATTTGTTCACAAACGATAAGCTACAGAAAGAGTCACCCGCGATTGTTTTTCAATGCGATCCATTTTGTATTCCAAGAGTAACAGACAATGTATCGGATTATCGACCAACACTTAATCCTTTGAGTATTTTCTTGCGAGAGGATCCATTGGTACCGCGTAATTTACGATTAGATCCAACAGAGACACTACCAAGTGGTGAAGACACTGTCGTATCAACGAATAAAGCGGTAAAAGAAGTTTTATTACCTTCATCCGAAAGCTTGTCGTCATCTACAAGTTCTGAAAGACAATATAAAGGCAAGGCAAGTGCATTTATGGGCACAATGCCGCGTCAAGTGGATTATACAAAGAATCTGGTGGCTGAAAAACGGTGTCAGAATCATGAAATATATAGAATCTTGCCATCTTTATCTTGGGTCTCATCTTACAGCAGGCAAGTTACGAATAACTCGGAAGAAGATCAAAATTTGACAGTGAGTTTAGACGGAACGAATCCTTGCATGTCTAGTATCTCTGTCTTACTTTCTGACGTAATGTTGTTGTCGATCCAGCATATGTTTGATACTATGAATGGTAGTCTTGCAGTGGCAGATAGCACTATATCTTTGATAGATAGTGATCTTGACATTGTGCCTTCTATATTACCCAGCAAATCAGTCAATTCAAGATGCGAAATTGAGCCACTTCAGCCGTTGGATTCTACTGCTGATGCATTGACTGACAACCTAGCAATTCGCAATGTGAATGTTTGCTCCTTGAAAGAGAAACAATGGCATTTTCAAATAGAAAGTTTCGATCCTGTTGGAGAAATGAATGGATATGCTATAGACTCTTCCATTCCATCAAATGTTTATGACTCCAATACAACAGTTGAAAACAAAGCTAGAGACTTGTATACTGATCAAATCATTTCCAGAGCTGACTCAGCAAGTGAGAAACAGGATATTTCGACATTCCTGTCGGTGGTTGGAGCTACTTCCCTCTCAACATCAAAAGGCAGTACCTTTGAAATGCACTCTGGTCTCATTACTTGTCAAAGGAATATGACACGAGCTGGTTTGAATGGAAGAATAAAAAAAGCTCGTCACAAGAATGTCCTTCGAATCTGCTCAATCACAGGCTGTTCAAAAGGTGCTCGTGGAAAGTCGGGATTATGTCAAAAGCATGGAGGTGGCAAACGTTGTGCCACACCCAATTGTCCGAAAGGAGCACAAGGTAGCAGTACGATGTGCCTCTTTCATGGAGGAGGTTATCGCTGCACAATTGAAGGGTGTACGACAGGGGCTCGTGGTACTTCTGGTCTCTGTGCTAGACATGGAGGTCATAAGAAGAGAATGACTGGTATCACAGTCAAACGTGGAGCTTATGATCGTGATATTGCAATGAACTAATTGCGTTGACAAGCTGCAGATATCGATCGATGTCAAACGAGTGATCAAGTTATGATTGAAAATTATTGTAAACCATCTGAGAGTGGCTACATGCTTACAAATCCTTGAATTTGTTGGTAGCATCAACAAGTTCCTTCGCAATGCCTGGTTCCATAGCCGAATGACCAGCCGTTTGCACAATACGAAGATCACTTTCTGGAAAAGCTTTATGAAATTCCCAAGCTGTTTTCATCGGACATACGACGTCGTATCTGTCATTTCAAGTAATATATCAAAATTTCGATCCATCTCCATCTTTCGATCACCTTTCGTACCTTCCTTGAACAATCACAGTTGGAATATGACGAATCTTTTCAACATTTTCATTCAAAAAATTTCTTGTTGGAAAGAAACCTTTGTTGACAAAATAGTGGTTTTCAATACAAGCAAAAGCTTCAGCAAACTTTTCGTCATTGTTTATTCCATTCGACTACAACATGAAGAAAAGATCAAGTTAAAAGACACTCAAGAAACAAGAAAATTTCAACTTTTTTAGAAACCGGAGGAATCAAATTGCTTGTGGATTTTTCCCATCTCGTCCATGCTAACGCTGCTGGTAGACGAATCTTTGGATCTTTACTCGTAAGACGTTTATGATACGCCATCAATAAATTACCACGTTCAGATTCAGGAATCGCGTCTCGAAATGCTTCCCATCGATCCGGATAGAGAAAATTTGCTCCATGCTGGTAATAAAACGCAATCTCTTCATCACGAACATGAAAAATACCACGTAAAATAAGTTCCGTCACTCGCGTGGGGTGAGTAATCGCATATGTAATCGAGAGGGTACTCCCCCAAGATCCTCCAAAAACTTGCCACTTGGTAAGATTGAAATGACAGCGTAATTTTTCGATATCTTCGACTAAATGCCACGTTGTATTCTCTTGTAGCGATGCATGAGGTTTACTACGTCCAGAACCACGTTGATCAAATAGTATAATACGGTAAACACGTGGATCATGATATCGCCTCATATTATTTGAGCATCCAGCACCTGGTCCACCGTGAATAATAATTACAGGCTTGCCGTATGGATTACCACATTCTTCGTAATATAATTGATGGATTGGCGAGACTTGAAGCATGCCTGTGTTAAATGGTTGAATCATTGGATAGAGAAACTTTTCTCCATTGGAAAGATACTGAGGCTCATCAAGTTGTTTCACCTTGTCAGCTTCTAAAAATGTAAACGTAGAGTAACTTGCGAAGGATGTGAGTGCCACGGCGGATAGTCCAAGTGCAGCACGACGTGCTTGCCCATGTTTGTTTCCATTTGATAAAATAGTGAAGTGTTTGTACTTGTGATGGCTTGTGGGTACATGTATATCGCGAATATGCAGCGTCTTGGCACGTACACAGCGTAGCATCATGGAGATGGTAACTTTAGTTACATAAAATATCTTTCAAACAGTATACTGTATACCTTATTCCGTATTTAACATAATTCAGTTCACGTAGAGCGTACCCTGTCATTCAATTAAGGGAAAATTGCAATAAAAATGAATTCCGTCGAGTTGTACGTCGTCCTGTCAAATAAAAATGGGCGCCAAAATCTTGGTACATATCTGCGTACCGCATCTGCGTTTGGAGCGACACAAGTTTTGGTCGGTAAGTAATCTATTAGTTTATGTGAAATAGTTTACGAATTTGTCTAATGTAATGTGACAGTGGGTTCGGAACGCTACAGCACTCATGGAGCACATCGAGCGCAAAAGTATGTGTCTGTGGTACATTTCTATTCCTATGTCGAAGCTCGTGAATACTTGAAAACGAAAGGCTGTACCATCTTTGGATTGAGCAAGGAACTAACCAATTCCTATGGTATGTAAAATATTTGATATAAATTTCAAGTTTCTTACCTCGTGGTACAATAGTAACCCACGCTACGCCATATCATGGTACCAGCGCCTTTGTCATTGACAACGAGGTACGTTTATAAGTTGTTAAGGTACAATGTACCATCTCTTCTAAATCACATGTACCCTCTAGTTTCCTGGACTATCGGATGAACAACGTGCAAGTTGTGATCATTTTGTTTACGTTCCTTTTCACGGCGAACAGACAAAAGATTCCAATCAACTTGTACTGGATACGACGGTGGTTACAGCCATTACGCTGCATCACTTTACAACATTCGCCCAATTTTCTGTTCGATCTTTTGAAACCACCGGTACACAAGGGAAATTTATCTTGGATGCGTACCCAAGTTATGGTTCAATCCAGGTAAAATATGGTGAAGAAAAAGCAATGAAGCGTAAAATACAACGAGCAAATTTAAATGACGGACTAGATGATAATACGTTAAATGATATATTTCAATAACGTAACCAAACTAAAACGCTACTTATTATTAACTTATTGGATAGAAAAAAAAAATTTGTACTGTCACTATCATAAAATGTACGTGTCTTTTCAATTTTGTAATAAAAAAAAGTCATGCGTTCAGTACGCACGCAGTTCGTACAACGTTTTATAACGTCGTGTGTAACCCCATCCGATGCATATCAAATGCATGCACTGCAGCTTGTTTTTTCTTTTTCTCCACAAGAATAGCTTCACAAAGTCGACAAGTTTTGATCTTTGCATTTGGATCTTCATCTTCTCGTACAAATGGAATAGCACTCACAGCATTTGATGGTTTTAAACACTGAGTGCAAAAGAGAAGACCACAATGATAACAGTTACATTGGTGGGTACGTACTGTTAACCCCATCACTTTTTTCAACATATTGCCAACAATACGTTTCATTGTCAAGAGTGTTGGTGAGTTGCATCGCATGCATGCACTACGTTGTGTCATAGACAAATAAATGGGCGCTTTTCGTAAACTGCGTACCATAAATTGTTTCACACGAGAACTTGCCACTTCATAACACATTAAACCGTCTGCATTTAATTGCAACATGGACGCACCATACGAAACTAAAACTCCAGCAATTACCGGTAATTGTCGTCGTACAGCTAAATGTAAAATCGCAATACTTTCCACTTCAGTATTAGCATCAGCACCAGCTTCGAGAAGCTTTAGTATAACCGTCGGGTTATCAATCTTCAGTGTCAACATATGAACAGCTAATGGTGTAAGACCACGTTTATTCATCGCTTGAACCTTCGCACCTGCTTCTAAGAGTCGTTCTGTAATTGTAAGACACGTACTTTGTCGCCAATTTCCTGTAGCAAAGTGTAATGCTGTATTGCCATTAAAATCAGGTGCATGGAGTAATTCTTCAATACTTTCATGTTCAAGTAATGCCTCCAAAACTTGTACATCTCCTTTACGTACAGCAATATGAAGTGGTGTTTGTCCATGATTTGGTTCACGTAATGCTAATAAAACCGATGATAATGTCGAGCCTGTACTTGTGATACTACTCGTTCGTGTACAACTAGGTGAAGACGATGCAATAGATGTCTCAACTGCAGCATCTCGTACATTATATCCACGTTTATTTAATAATCCCAACATATTTCGCACAAATACTTCATCTGCATTCGCTTTACTTGAACGTAATGGTGTCATTGGTGGTCGAATGACACTGTTCCGATGCACATTCTCTTCATCATCTGAACTACTTTGGGTACCCTCACGTGAATCACTCCCTTCGAGAGTTGTAAGTGGAGGATTGACGTCCTCGAGATATGGTGACGTGCACTGTTCGACCAACGCCATGGGTACAAACGATACCGACAACGTTTTTTTACTTAATCTCTGGCGAATGCAGAAATGTACATATACGTAGGCACTGTCCAACTCGAACAGCTGCGAAATGTCAGGTGGCACGGTATTTCCCGGTTACCGCATGGTACGTTTTGGGATACAAACTGGAATTTACACCTCATACTGTATCCTATAAATTTCTACGAGTGAATTTACCAGCTGAAACGAAAAATTGTAAATTTGCTGGAGGTTGTCAGAAATAATATTGACTGTTTAAGGGAGAGGGATTTCTATATGTACAGAAACTCGAATCATGCAAAGCTTTGCAGCGGTACTTTACTGAGTTCATACTTTTGTCAAATACTTTTCACGTGATTGCAGAGACTTCCGCAGGTTTTTTATTCAATCTCAACTCAAATTGATCTCAGTCTTGTTTGTGTCCCCATCTTTATCAATGTCTCATAAATTCGATGAAATTTTAAGAATTTTTTATAACAAATTTTGCAGTTTACAATGGTATAAAGCATCGCAACCGTTGGTAGTGTGACTACCACCCGTTTTGCTAGTGGTTATGGTTATACTCCAGACGTCTAATATCTTTTCAGAACAAAATTTAAGAAGATTACTATCGGTTATAGACTTGAACAAGCTGGATATTTTGAAACTCATCGACCAAATCATGTGTACTGGATGTTTTTCGCCAAATCGAATACTACAAGACGTCCAATTGCAATATCGATTTTCGAGGACAGTTACAATAATTACTATTATGTATTAATTAGTTGAGTTATGTTTTAAATAATTGCTATAATACAATGCTTACGTTTCAGTTACTTTTCACAACCGTAATCGTAATTACTATTATATATTTATTGGTTGAATTATGTCATACTAGACTTACGTTTTAGATACTTTTCACAGCCAAGCTAACTCGAGTATTAAGTTAAGTCACAAGATTGCTACAGCAGATCCTCTGCGCTCTTCCATTCGTAACGTTTGGCAAGAATTCTTTTGATATCGAGATGGCGAGTCGAGATTGTGCGAGGGAAAGAAATCGCTGTTGACGACTTTTTCCTAATTTATCACTACGTACAAATGTAGATGTAGTTTGATTGATATATAGTACGAGAAGTTTCTTTTTTGTGCATCTTGCTTATTTGTTCATTGTATGAGAGAAATTATCTTGTTGAAAGAAGTTTGCCTGACTAACTGTGTTAAATACCTCGCTAAACTTTTAAAGATTACAAATTAATTTAAATTGTAAGAAACTTTTGGTAAATGCGCATTTTACTGCACTAAATGTGGTAAGTTTTTTTTAAGCTGGTTGTCAGTCAAGACCGTTTTTTCGCCGTTCCCTGACTTCTCGTCAGCCGAGGAAGGGGACTTATAAATCGAGATTAATAACGAAGCATGCTGTATGTTGATAACCTTTGAGATTGATAAATGTAAAATTTCCTACACTTTGAGATTTATTTTGCTCACTTAACGTAACAATTGTGCAAGAGGATAAATTACAAGGTAAACTTGAAGCAGACTCAGATTGAACATTTTCTGACAGATGACTAGAATATTTGCGCAAGAAAAATAAAATAATCATGAACAAAGAAAGATATTCATTATGATACTCTTCTCTAAATCAATTGCACAACTTCGGAAAGCAATGGCTGGATGGCATTAAGGCCAGGTGTTACATTTAAACGCCGGATAACCTCAGCAAGCCCAAGTTCAATCGATAAACTTCGAGCAGCTTCAAAGTTGTGCAACAAGCGACCAAGACCGACGATTATACCTTCAATAGTTTGTTGGTGTGTGCTTGAAAAGGTTTGGAGTCGTGATATTCGGTCGAGCGTCTCGATCGCACCACAGACGATAGTAGTGATCACCACTTCCTCTCCAATCTTTAATGCCAAGCAGCAATTGCTAATGATATGAGCGCTCACTACGCGAGTTTCTTGGCTAGCAGACTGGTCAGCAATCGTAGCGAAAACAAAAGGCAAAAAACGGGTTGACGCAGCAAGTGCCATTTCACTGAAGCCAGGGCTAGCGAAAAGATTTACAATCACACTTAATACCAACGTCTTCTGGGCAGAAGTCAATGATGACGACTCGACTTCCGTAACATTTACGACGGCTTCGAAACACGCTTTTTTCTCACTTGCAGCTTCGGACGGATTCACTGGCTGCAGCGATAGTACGCGGTACAATCCCAGGGCTGGAAAGAAGAAAGCTGATTCATGTCCCTTAGCTAGCAATTTCGAGACAATTACCCACCATTTAAAGCTTTGAGGTGACCTATCCTTCGAATTCTCATTTGCAACGTGCGTCAACAGTGCATCAAGCGCCGAAATTTCATCTTCGGACAACAATTTCTCAGTGTTAAGCGTAGTAATACGCTTAACCATCTTTTTTAAGTGAAGCGCTGGCGCTCCAGAGATTTTAAATCGATGTGACGCTAAATTCACCAATCCAGTAGAAGTAGTCTCCGAGTCACTACTTGACACAACAGGGTTGGCTCGCGATGGATCATTGAATGGAATAGAGAAGAGCTGGTCTTCTGGAGCCGCGTGCATCTGCCGATTCATATTTTCTAACATAGGTCTTAGCATCGCCCTAATCACGTCATCAAATGCACAAGTAAGCTTTAAGTAACCTACAAAGTCCACGATAATCATAACTCAATATAACGTACCCAAATGGAGAATTGAGTGCTTCATTTGGAAGATCTAAAATATACTGCGGGATGCCCGATCCCACTAGAAATTTTGCAGCTTCGTCCGAAAAGTTATTGCAATTATGGCGCAGCAGGTCGTACGAAGCATCAGTAAAACGAGCGCTATTTTCGCGTAGAAATTGCTCAAACTGCTGTAGCGTTTGATTCGTCTCGCCCAAATTCACAATGCGCACGGGCTGCATGCCATAACGCTGTGGTACCAACTGTGGTGCCATGGCTACAATGCCACCAGAGCTAAAAAAATATTCTTTGCCAAATACCTGAACACCAGTATGCCACACACCATCGATGGTCTTGCCTAAAAGTGCCGGTGACAGCTGTCGAGCCATACCATTGCTAAGGTCGTATACGGAAAGCGTGACTACTGGCATTGTCGAAAAAAATGAGAGTGACTTATTAAGAAAATAACCTTAAAAATCGAAGTGTTCGAGAAGGTATCTCTGAAAGTTTATAGTATGAGCTCAAACAAGTTTTGATAATGTACCATCATTCTGTGTATTGCGCATTTACCTACTCCACAACGCGGTAACCTTGCTTCTTGGTCGTAAGCGGGCCGTGGAACTTGCGGCCAAGGAAAAGACCAGCAAGACCCGAGAGAATCACAAAGATTGTAGTCGTAAAGTACGACACGGAACACTTTTGTGGCTCATTAGTAATCTCAGTTGTAGCAGTGGCCGCTTTTCCTCTGTCCGCTTCTGCTGGAGCCGAAGTTACGACCTTTGTTGAGGTTGGTTCACTTTCGTTGGTTTGGTTAGAGTCATTGAAAAATCCCACTTGTTGTAGCCACCACTTTGGATAGAAGATCGATTGAACTGTGAGCCGTTTGGCGTAAAAGTTGGAGACCTGGTAACCATCGTGAAAAGCTGTAACCAGGTACTCGAATAGATTTGACGAGGCATTATGAGCTCGTTGTGCAAAGCTTTCGCTCTGCTTTGTAAGAAAGTTCGCCATGGCTGGCACACCGCCTTTCTGCTTGTGCTGTGCAGCTTCGAGCAGTACATTACGAAGCATGCCTTCAGCATGACTCTCTACCTCGTTCTGAACGCGAGCAACAAATGGATGAGCGTAAGAGTAGAAGCGCGCAGCCCAATTTCCAACCAGTGCATGAGCCCAGAACGACGATTCGCGGTCAAATGCATACAGTGAACCACGCGACAGTTGATCAGGCACGTCGGTGGACTGCACAAACACAGGTGTGTACGTCGTGGCGTGTGGCGCACATTGACCAAACCAGAGGAATGCGTTGTCCGAGTTCTCCGAGTCCAAGATGGATACAAATGAGTAGCTCGCGCGAAAAATAGAGATCGCCCGCTCAAAGTGGCCTCGATCAATGTCTTCTTTGGTCAAATCGCCGTTCGGAGACGGGTCGTAGCGGTCTGGGTCCCCGTACGGGCCGCTTTTAGGACCTGTCGTCATGTCAAATGCCGTGCCTTCGTAATGATCACGCTGGAAGCGCATAATGTCGCGCGGAGATAACGAAGACGCAGGCTTGACGGAGAATGGATAGTCAGATGCAAGCACATCAGTAGTTGGGGACAATTTTAGTTCTGGATCAGCTAGCGTGAACAAGCGCCAGATACGACGCGTTGAGTAATACTGATGTGTTGCTTTGCGAGGCTGAGCATAAGCACGAGTAAAGTCAAAGGGTACTTCCTGGTCAGGTTTCCAGATATTGTTGCGGATAGCCACGTCGTGTACATTAGGAGAAGCCAGAAAATCTGATGGTCGATTAAGATCTAGTTCGCGGATAACAAATTGATTAGCAACGCCACAGATATGGTCGTCCAAGACTCGCTGGGCAGCCCAAATTGCCGACTTGCCCGTGTCGTCTGGCAAAATGTGGAACATCCACGCCTCTTTGGTATCTGTCACTGTAAGTGCTTCACCAGCCTCATCGTATACGTCCTCACCTTCCCAAACGGCACCGTAGTATCCGTATCGGACCGCCAAGTCTCCCATCAGCTGGATTGCCTCTCGGGCTGTTCGTGACCGTTGCATTGCAATGCGAGAGAGTTCAGAAACGTCAAATAGTGCGTGGCCTCCTTGCGTGACTGGCTTGGTCCAGAATCGTGCAGGGCATGTACTTTCGCCAATAGCCAGCTGATGCTCATTAAGGATACCGTAGTGGCCTTCAATGTAGGCGAATGTATGGGATATCTCGGGAATGGTACCGATGGAAGGCGATGTGGTCCAATTGTAAAATCGCGAATCTAAATTCTCGGGGAGATACACCTTGCCACGAGCTTTTCCCACTGAGCAAGTATGATCAATTATATCAGCTACATTTTACTCTTTCCTGACTCAAGTTTCAAAAGTTTGATTAGTTATACCGTATCGAGGGTACCCAGAGGCCGCGAGCACAACCTCGTGCAGCGCACCATCTTTATGCTCCTGCGCCGGCACTTTAGCGATGCGAAAGTCGCAGGACGAACAGTCGTTCGTATGCGTTGTCATTGGGGCGCCTGTAGTTGATGTCTACGGTACATTTGAAGCATCAAATAGTAAGAAAAAAGTCATGCCGCTGGAAATTAATGGAATGAACCTTCGCGCCAACGATGATGGCCGTGCAGTGATCTTTTGCCTCTACCGTCGTCGCCAGTGTGGCAATAGCCAGCATTAAGCCTACTAAGCCTACTATCATTATTATGAGGAATGATTAGGAGATCTTTAACTGAATGGGGAACTTGACTCTCGCTATTTCAGGTATCACAAATGTATTGAGCCAGATAGCAATATGAGTGGTCAAAATTAGCCATAATCATACATTACCACCGTGTGATGGCACGATTTGAAAACACCGTACAAAGCATTGAGATATTACAAAATTGTCGCAAGCAACTGTGAATGGAGTAATGGAAGTCGTTAGGAGAAATACCGTCCTTTTGTCTTTACGTCAAGTAGAAGCTCTTGTAGAGCTTGAGAAATTATTCTCGGAGAATGCATAGAAGGGGTTATAAGAGAGTAATATCATCAGTCCCAGAGAAGAAGCTAAGCTCCATCATTTGCCATGGATTTGTCCGTCATTGAGAGCATTTGGAGGGCAAACTCTTTACAAACTCCTATCATACCACTTCTAATCATGGTCTTAATTATAATTTTCCATTTGATACTCACTCTTAAACCGAGATAATAGCGACAATTATGGAGATCGTACGACCCTGTTAGACATTCCTTCACCAAGAACATTAGATTTACTCTTGTTGCCTACTTAAAAGTCACTCAAAAGTAAGCGCTCCATGAGCACCGACCGAGCCGAGAGAGGTTTACTCCCACCATTGCAGCTTATAGTGCAAGCGTAGCCTACATAGGGAGAAACCTCACTGACATGTCAAGCAACTGATTACGGCGCATTCCTCCGCGGCCGAATAGTGCGATGAGAAAGTCGATGGACAGAGATCATAGTGTCATTTCGCAGTCTCGACCGACACGAATGCCCTCACCAAGGGTCATACGTCAAAGACGCTCCCCGAGAATGAGTTGCTCTCTACGCCAAACATCTGCATGAGTTACAGACTCCGCACTCTTCTTTACGGCAAAACGTCAGCGAGAAACTCACGACGACGTTCAGTCCGCTATTATTAAACTGGACTTGACTCGACAAGCCAATTTTGCCTTCCAGTAAGCACAAGAGTAACAGCATTTTTTGCAGGCTCAACCACGTCGTATTTGTGAGCGCAATACAGCAGAAGTTGTCCGCCACGCCGCATCGGAGACCTTCCACACCTAAAGGTGCAACTTTCCGTTTGGTTCTCGAACAAAACAATTGATCGTTAATAATTCCGATGCAAATTTTGATCTCGCGTGTTGCCACTTGTCAGGGGTACAGCCTGTATTTAAACAACCGTAGTTTTGCTGCTGAATGCTGGCAAATGTGTCTAAGAGTGTCATTCCCAATATTCATACAGGTGGAATAATTACGTTGCTTCAGTCAGCTTAAGTAACCAAAACACCATTGCGCGAAGCATGATGTGGGTGCTCATTACCTTAAGTTCTTTCTCTGAAGAGCCTGCTCATCTTTACGCTCCAACTAATGCCTAGTTGGAACAAAGCCGATCTAGAAGAATTCATTACACAAGCCAATTTGAAAATCACTTTAGGAATCAAACAAAGAATGTGTCAAGTCCTATCAACGATGTCAGGACAATTCTGCTGGAGTGATATATCAACTGAGAAGAACTCAGAATAAATGTATCCCATCCACTTCACCAGATGCCTAGATAACTGTGGTGATCACGCCGACCGATAATCTGTTCAATATGGATTCCGGCCACTCCTATTTCATCGATCAGTGCTGGTAGACCCATCAGTGGTTGGCTATCGTGAGCTCCTCGGTTATGGCAGAATCTTTGTTTTCATGATAGTCTTGGTTTTCTGGCTGAAAGCTGCAGGATCCAATTTTCGGATTCACTGTCGGAACAACACGTCGTTCGAAGTACGCAAACCAGTTTATAATCGCATTGCTGCTCCAAAGCAGAGAGTGGCTCAGCTACAACTGATGACTGATACGCTGCTTCATCCTCAACAAAGCGCTTCAAGACCGTAAGAGCACGACTACAACAATCACTTGTGTAACGTTGGATATATTCGTATTCTCTTCGAGATATTAAGCTTGTAGCTTAACACATTTTGGCTGCGACCGTGTACGATCAGATGAAATGGGGTCACAGCTTAGTCATAACACTGCATGTTAGATTAACCGCACTCAACTATACTTTTTATTTGCGACGATTCGGGATTTTTTTACTCCGTTTGACATCTGCATGTTGCTTTTGCATATCCTAGATCGAGGCCATGACGGCGCTTAATCCCATCAAGATCCAGTTCTCGACATTGCATTGAAGTGGTATCAGCAAAGCGATTCGCCTCGACAAGCCTCCCCCCGGTATAGATGCTTCACTTTTGTGTTGATGTCAGGGGGGGCGTGGGGTGGTTGAATGGTCATTTGAAAATTATGGTGTGTAGCCTCTCAATGCATGTACGGAATGTATAACGTATCCTCATAAACTGCAACTCGTTCCCGTACCACATCTTCTCTGTGCAGGTGCCTTAGAGAGCTTATTTATCACAAACCAACGCGTTCGGTCCGACCATTTGTTTGAAAATGGTCAGTAGTTATCATATTTCATTTGGTACAAGCAAGATCGCCACACCCCTTGATTATCCGATTGAAACAAAAGGCGAAAGTGGATCTTGATCCAAAACGACGGCCACCAGCAAGCCATGCTGGCAAAACTTTTGTCAAGGAGGAGTTTGTGTAATGATGCACGTAACGTATTTTAATTCGCTACCCTACCCATCTGCGCAATTGTGTAGAATATTTTTTGTACGATTAAAATACTCATTAAACTTTTGCGTGATTGTGAATAATTAGAGGTACTTTAGTATTGGTGCAGACAAAGACGATGGAGTCCGTATGCTCAGAACTGCTGCAGAGACAGATTTGACTGTATCTATCATTACTCACAATCAGAGCTGCTGGTACTAGTCAAGCCTTCAGTGTCACTTCATCAAACAATCGCCATCATCAACTCACTCACGTGTACCAAATGGATCTACTGTAGCTAGTACCTACGCTTGGAGATTTGACAACAAGTTTGCTGGATTTGGACTGTGTGTCAAGGAGCAATTATCATAAGTTGCGTGTCTGGCAACGGCTCATCGGTCACACAAACACCTGACATTCTACTTGCTCGTGGTGTCTTATTGATTATTCATCGCTATTCATCAACTTGCATAAAAATACGCATAATATCAGGGCCATATTGAAAAGAAAAAAAAACACCAAGGTAAAACAGCAATAAAAATACCCGTATTGGGTCATGTCAGCTCTGAAAAGGCCCAGCTGGAGGACATCATCTGTTTCATTTTATGCCTAAGGCCTAACAAACAGAACTTCGAATCTAGTGATACCACAATCTAACTCCTCCGAATAACCTGAGCTCTGATTTCATTGGTTCGACAAACTAATTGATTCCGGCCGCCTCGCAAATTTCGCTAGAGCTTTGTGATGTATGTGTCCAATGTGCGAGTATTAATTGGTGTCGCCAAGTCGCAAAAGCGCCATTGGTGACTAACCGACTCTAGGGTTGTTACGTAGCCAACATCAAGAGCTCTTGAAGATTTGGATAGATACTTGACCATACAAGAAAATTTCGCACTCCGTAGCTAGTAAAGTTACTCTAACATTGGTCACGATTGCGGGGGGGAGCTAAAGAATGGTTAGCAACGTTTTGTCTCTGAGATGCTGGTAACGACCTTACACTTTATCGTGTGGAAAGATAAGCCAAGCCTAGTGGATCGGACCATAACTGATAATACGGACTCAAATATGATATATGTGTACATAACGCTAATGATATACGATCTTGAAAGAGACCTGTATGAAGTGCCATGATGTTGTGCACGACGCACGAGATAGAAAATGTTCGTCTAATACATGGGCTTCTTGCTATACGTTACAAATTTGTCAGTGTTATATATCCTCATTAAAGAAGGCAAATCGCATATTGAACATCACGTTTTTAGCTACTTTCAGTTAAAACAAGGGCAAAAATCCCGCGTTGAGGGATGTCTTTTGCTCCTTTCGCAGCATTTATCGACCCAGATGTTCGGCTACCCCGATGCACCGGGATACGCATGTCGTCGTATAGGTGAGCTTTAAATACCGCTGTATTGCTTGAGAGGATGAAACTTTCAGTTATCATACTCTGAGTCATTAAAACAATGGCTTCTAAGATCTGGTGTTGCTAACACCGATTGATCATATATGAGCGCTGGATAGACTGGTAAGTGAAGATATTCAAGGAGCATGATCCCGCCTCTGTAAGAAAGCAGAAGTGCTGTTGCCTCGTGCACGAATCTTTGTCGCCGAACATTGATTTGTAGAAGGTAATGCTGTTTTGAGAAGCCTTGAGCAATTCTGGGGGCCGTGAACCGCAGTCTTTAGGTATATGTTTTATCGAGGAGAAATAAAGTGAATATTTGTCGCGATCCGAAATTTTCAAGTTTTGAGACAAAGATAGTAGCGATCATATGTCGCGGTCACCAAAAATATTTTTTCAGCAAGGTAAGGACAATCTTGAGTTGTGTTTCAAGCTGTTGTGACAGCATCGGAGAAAGAAGGCGTCTGTATATCGCAGTTGTCAAGGTATATCGGTTAAAATTACTTGGTGTAGCTTGTACACTGGAAGCTCTACATATGATGAGAGAATATCAATTAATGTCGGTGATCATGATCTCTTCTCTATATACCTGTAGTAAAAGATCTAGGCGAGTAGATTCCCTGCAGTGCCTATTTTTCCTGAGAAACTGATACAATGGGATGCATACAACGAAGTGCAAGACATAAGTCTGCCGATTTAGTAAATGAAGGGAGGCTGAGCTCATCGCTCTTCATGTTTAAGTATGTTGTTTAGTATAAAGGTAAAAAGAAGTCTCTTAGCTGCTGAGCAGCTCCGCGGTACTCGCAGATGTTTCATGCGCTGTAATTAAAGTCTTGCTGACAAGAAATGTTGGATCTGGTAGGCGCAGGGTAGCCTATTGAAACATCTCATGGGTTATGTGATCGATGAAAACAGCCCTCAAAGCAGAAGCTCCCTACGGAATAGGAGACTCACAGCAGACAGCCCAGAATTGCTGGTTGTTGAGTTTAACGTTTCAGGCGTGGAAAGTACCGTTTGATTCAGGTGTTCGCGCGTTTATGTACTACGCGCGACTAGCGAAACCCGCCGACAATTACGATACTATACGATACCCTTGCGTCCTGTGACGGGGACACTTATTAGCGTGTCGAAGGTTATGCGAAACCTTGAAAAAGCAAAATTTGAAACTTTGGCAATGTGAAAAGGCATCTAGTCTTGAGCTTAGTAGTGATCCTTGTTGTGGTGTGACGAAAATGCTCGAGCCATGGGTCAACGGAAAGTTGAAAACGTTAGGCGCCACGCACTTCTCTCCTTTGGTCAGCGAGTCACAATCCCAGGAAGCATTTGACGCGGTCATAAAGTTACGATAGCTTCCCAGCAGACGCGTCGCATTGCTCAACATTGGTAAAAACGATATTTCCTGGTGCTTCGAGTAGAACTCGAGAGGCAGAAGCGGTAATGGGACAAAGTCTTGCTATAAATTAATACCGAGCGATTGTTTATCGCTGTCGTAGAGTATATATCTTTTAAGAAATAACGATCTTATGTCGTCAACTTCAAAATGTATCTCTGGTGGTCGGGAATGAACAGACGTGAGCTGTTGTCTCCTGTGTCAGAATTGGTGGAGAGAAGAAGCTACTGAATGTCGAATGCTGCGTGGAGCTGAAGGGCAATTATAAGTCGTGCGTGGAGACAGGCTCTGACGATACGACAGGCCCGCCGTGCGGAAAAGTAAACATCCACGGGTAAGTGTCGAGAAATTATTCCCCCCAAACAGGTCTTATAGAGCTTGACAAATTCTTTTATCGTCGATATGTGCAAGTTATTGCAGGACGATGAGGCTACCATGATTGGTGTAGCTGGTTCAAGAGAAAGAGTTGGACCCGTCGTTTGTCGTGGATAAACGTGTCATTAAGGATTCTCGGAAAGCACTGAGTACGAGGAATGAGACAGCTAATTTTATTTGCTTCTACATGGTTACAACAGACACTTACGCGTGTTATCCCCAATACGAGAAGGTGCTCTAAATTTTCAAAACTAATATTGCATCTTGCAGTGATAGCCCTTCCAAGAAGACAATGAGACGTCATCGACGCTTTCCTCTGCGCAAATTACGAAGTGAGTTTGGTGAAAGAAATTAATCATCCTCAACCGTAGTCAAATTTCTTTGTCAGAATGACAATCGACAAGTCGTGACTTTTGCAGGCTTATATGCCCACGCTCTCTATGATTTGATGAGGCCACAGTTTTAGCGCAAACAAATTTTTTAGGAGTGATGTACTACAGAAAAGCATGATTCGCATTTTATTCAGTGTCATTGAGATCCTGATGACGGTGAGTAAAATCCTCTCACTGCGGTGAGTACCTAGGGAGAAACTTCGAAATTTGCTGGTTGAGCCGTATTGACTGTCTTCTACACCAGCGACGTCATATCGTCTGGTGACGCAGCTGTTCAGGCAAGATACACAATACTATTTTAGCGTTACAATAAACTACACTCGTGCGGAGGATCAGATAAAACACTTGCGAGAAGTGCTCGAATATATGCGCTGATCTTGCCAAATTCGAAAAGTGTTTTCGTGGCGCCGAAAAAAATTATTTTCTGGGTTCCTCTATCTAAAAGTAGGGACTGTGAGCACATCACGCAAAAAAACCATCGCAGATTGTTTAGTGCCTCCGTCCCAAATGTACTTGAGGAAGTGGCTTGGCCCGACCAGACATGACCCCTCATTTATTTTTTCAAAAATGTCAAATAGTGTTGCGCTGCGGCAGTAAAGACAGCAATAGAAGACTGTGAATAAAACCTCATACTGCTCCGATCCGACCACCTGCAGGTAGATGATCGAACGGAACGCATAATCGCGTTATGGGGGATTTTTTACATATCACTTGTTTTATGAAAGAGGCGAATTGCCCCCACTAATTGGGTTCATTTTCAATAGTACAGTACATGCCGCTTCAAGCTTTATCTCAACTTGCTTAATTGGTTTGGCAAATCTATGCGTGACTTTAAAAAGACCACGACGTGGATCTGGTCTTAGATAAGGGGACGTCGATCTAATATGAGCCTAGCTACACTTTGCGGCAAAATCATTGGCTTTTACTCTTTTGCCACACTGAGAATTACTGCAATTTCCCTTGATTTCTGGTGCTAATTGTAATGCTATTAGCCTGGTCGAGGCGATGAAGGGACTAATGTATACTTTTGAAACCTCGAAGTGCGTCACATACAGTGCGCTACATTCGGTGCTCTATGTGAGATTTCTGAAGCCAAATTACAATCCCGCTCTTACGAGCCAGTTTGAAGCGATGATCTCCATTGCATACGGAGAAGCGTTCCAGCAATTTCTTGTAGCTAAACGATCCGCAGATTCAAAGCAGCGACTCATATCTAAACCACTGGGGCTGTCTTAAACCAGGTACTGTAGTAGCAAAGCTCAGGGAACAAAATCCAAAATCTGGTCCATCTCAATTTCAGACCCACGTTAGACTTTCAAGCGGTCTCGATGTTCCGCCACATCGGAAGAGCTTTCGAGTCCAGACTCCACCGGCGCTGCTAGATGAGCAACGAGAGGTCCGCTTCATGTGGAATCTTTGGTGAGCCAACTGGTACATTCGGGCTGGTACCGATATCTGATCAAGGTATAGCAGTATCTTTACCGAAATGCCAACGGGCCTTGAGGTTACACTTCGGATCGAGGGCTTAAGTGCCGTGGCAGCATATAACCCTGCACACTCTTCGCTCTGATATCTCAAACAGAAAAGACAATATCACCCGTCCCGGCGCGACGCCCACCAATTGATGGGTAGCAAATTTGCGGTGAGCAAGCCCTTTAGTCTATTTTTGTCCCGGCTATCTCATGGAGACGAGCGGAGCTATAAAAAGCAGAGACGAAGAAGGATGGCCTGTATTCTCGACATCTGTGTCGTGCTTGATACTCGTGAAGTCAAAAATGCGAGGACGCTCATGACGGGCAAGCGCTTCGTCAAGACTGGCATGTCAAGCCATACGACGTGTTTTCACACCTAATCTCTAAATCAGATCAGTTATCGCCTAAAAACTTTTAGCTTTAAATACCTAAGGAACACATCTCATCGGATGTACAGCTTTCCATACCGCTGGTGCATCAAGCGCAGGTGGTACTCCTGAGGATAGATGACGACAACTTTATAATGCGCTTGCGGAGCCTCTTTCTTGCTCTATTTTTGCTCTTCGTGTCAGTGGAGAGCCTGCACACATGGATGTGTAAAGGTTTCACAAGAGCGCAGCGAACAACTTGAAGACGTAATCATGGCGTGATTATATGGTCAAGGGTCGACGTGATCTTTTGGACAAGAGTTGTCGAGTCATTTTTTTCGTGCTTGCAGTAGAGCAAACTGGGCTTCTTGGACCAGGTCCAGCTTGAACTTGACACCTTTGTAAGTTCCACAGCGATGTGCACCAACATTTCCCGCCGATAAAAAAGGGCAAAGAGTGCGAGACTAGCGCAGCTGGGAAACGGCTAGGTCATGAGTTGTTTGGAGAGTATCACACGATTCAGAAAGCCACTGTGACGATTTCCATCAGCAAGCATCTCGGTGTCATCACCGAGATATTTTTTAGCGCTAGTCACGAGGCCCTTACTCTTGCTGGGGTATCGCTGCGCCATTTGTTTCGGTGCTCGGTATCGTTTCCCGGTGCAAGTAAAAAACGCCTCTAGACGCGCACCGATTGCCTCGGGGTCTTACTCTGAGGAGGAGGTATGGTGCCGGTTAGAGGGTTGATTTAGACTCCAAACGCATTAGTTGTATAGCGGTCATTTCTGTGCGCTTTCTTATAGCGACAAACAAGTGAGAACACCAGTGTGGTCCCCATTTATAATTTAGCATGCTGATATTTTTAGTAGGATTGATTGGATAGGTACTGTAATCTTGTATACTACTTTCCACATTTGGCACAATTGTATTCAACAAAATACCGTTCAATTGTACAGCATTCACATTGCACCTGGGTGTAATTGTGAATATCCATAAGTGTCAAAGTTTCGGGAGTCTTGAAACTGATAGATCCCGACAAGGTGGGATCCGTGGCACATGTGGACTGATAGCCGCACGAACCGAGCAGGTGTGAAATGAACTCAACACGAGCACACTACATGACAGTGGCTTCTTGTGTCCTGGTGTCGATAGTAATTTCTCTGTTGCTCGTATCTGGTATAATTGACGTATTCTCGCCCTTTGAGATGTGAAATCTCTCAGCAGACACCTATGTGTCCACCTGATCTAGCGACGTAAGATTCTGAAGTGCTCATTCTTGATGATTACTTCTGATAAGCTAAGTAGTAACCGTTTGGCGCTGGTCCATCGCTAATAAGCTAGGCATAATAATGCTGATGACGATGACTTTTAGGTGATTCCAAATCGCATTTGCGATGGTCACTTTGTCGATTACCGTAACGGGATTACACGTGCCCTGGTATAAAGGATGTGGCTACAGTTAAACAAGAAGTCAGTACGTGGCTGCCAGTAGTTATACATTTAGTTAGGTTTTACTTTATAGATAGGTAAACCTATAAATTAAGATTTAGACGATTTTGCCGCAAATAAAAACAAATACCGAGAAATACAGTTAACATTTTAGACGGAAGAGTTAATTAGCCTTGGGTTAAGGCTGTAGTTACTATCGGAGTAAGTGGATCGCGATCCGCTATACTCGTACTGGTTCTAAGTATAGATCAGAGGTCACCAACCTTAACCAAGCGTCTCTAAGCGACGGAGTTATGGCAGCACCGCTGCTATAACGCTACTAACAATGTACAAGTAAGCATCTCAAGATGCCTCCTGAGATTTTATGGCCTGATGGGAAAAGAACAGGCGACCTAGCCGTTCCCCAAGAAACAGGCGCTCACTAAGATCTCATCTCTACCCGCTTACAATGTATTCACAGCGAGTATGGCCATTTGTTGTTAGCTGCAACGTAATTTTCGATCATCCATACTGCGCTAGGCCATGAAATGAGCTAGCTCTGGCTTGTATGTTAGAATCATCACATAAAATCCGAATATATTGTTAGTATTATTATCGAGTAGTTATCGCAATTGCAATTTGTTTACTGTCTCTCCAATCCTTCGTAACGTTTGTCAAACAGAGTATTGAATCGATCTGATGCTTGTTACTGGAACATTTCGTCCGGTTTGGTAGATGGACAATCAACGCCGTATATGACGAAGTAAAACTTTTGTTGGACAATTTGTCAGGCGTCAATGCCTAGTTGTGTAGCGCTGCTATCAGACTTGCTCAATGTCAAAGCCAAAATCCAGCATGTTGTTGGTATCGTTTAAACTATGTAGACCAGCGTTCTATAATACATTAATCTGCTATAATATATTAACCTTGGGTCTCTCGAAGTAGGTAGTTTGGTATTTTACGCTTCGATTGACCACGTTTTACGTAGCAACTTCTATTGAACAAAAGTGTATACCCTCGCTTGATGTTCCGCGTAATGTCGTCTTTCTCGCTAACACACGACGTTCGTCGGTCTAGCAAGCTTGACATGAATTTGATCAAGGAATCACGAAGTAATGTATTAAGATGATTTATTGTAATCCTACCAAATTATCTCGAGTTTCGGCACATCACAGCAAATGTAACACCAAATTCTTGCTGGCTTTCTTCCGTAAATGCAGTGAGGCGATCAGTTTTTCACTGCATTTTTTATGTCTTGGACCCTGGCTTGAGCCTGATTGTAAAGGCTCTCGAACTTGGGATCACGAGACGCTGCAAAAGCGTTTTCGACACCATTCTTGGGATTCCACTTGCTGAAGATACCTTCCATCTTGTCAGTGGCAAAGTCTTTGTACTTCGGCACCGATTTCAGCTTTTCCAAGAACACTGCTGGAGTTGGAGTCGCGTCTTGCGACTTCAGCATATCGTTTAATGTATCTGCTCTCAAGGTTTCGTCCTCGATGACTTCGAGCAATGATCGAATATCGATTTCGCTCAGAATTTTTTTCTCTTTGGTCAAGTGCTCTGAGACAGATTCGGGAGTTTCATATGCTTTTCCCTTTAAACTAGCCCCAAAACTGTGAGAAAACAAATGATATGGTGTAGGTCCATTGATACTAGGGAGACTCATTATGACACGAAACTCGGAAGTGAAATGCGATAGTTTTTTAGCAAGGTCCTCCGCCTTCTCTATTAATCCTTCTAGCATCTTGAGTGTTAGATTGGACCAATTCAAAGCTCGTTCTTCGTTCATGTCTACAGAGAGTGTCGGAGTGAAGCCATGGTCAATCTTGGCTTTCTCTGAGTGTTGGGGTGCTTCTACTCTCATATTGAGTGCAACACCTGAGTTGAGTGTAGCGAGGAGCGAAATCGACAGGATATAGACACGCATAAGTGAAACTTTGGGTTTGCTTTTCGGATTCTTTGGACAAATTGAGAAGTGACTTGTAATCCAATCACTCCATTCATGGTGGCTACATAGATACATAGTACTGTGGCCACCGTATGTTTGGTAGTATTAGAAGTGTTACATGAAAGGGGTGGCACGACATTGGTTTAATATTCGTTTCTCGAAATTTTGGAGTATGCAGTTTCTCTCTTATAACACTATATATCATGACAGGAGAAACGCATAAACCCTTTCAATCACATACAACAATAATATGCTTCTTGATAGTTGGGAGGTCTAGCATGCCTTTTTCGTACGATTTGGTTATTGAAACAATACTTGTTGAATGGCATATAATTTAGTGACATGTCGACCACCGTGTAGAGACATCACGAAGCCATTCATAAAACATGTACATACTTGCGATGGAAATCATCTCTTCAAGGAATCATTTATTTTAAAGAAGCAGTTTCCACAAGGACTAAGCTTCATACTAAGCTCTTGTAAAAGTATAATGTTCGGATTAGATGGGTGGGCTATCTCTGTCACATACTCAGATTACGCATCTTTGGTACTTACTTGAATTATTCTGGTATGAAGGCTGGTAGACCATTAATATCCAAACTGTGTGGTCACATTACTGATATAATAACTAGTGCCAGCTTGTGTCTATGAGATAATGTGAGCGATATATACTCAGAATGCTATCCAGGCTGTCATTTGATATGTTTTGTGGTGTGCAGAATTGTCAATAGTAGTCAGATAATCTAATCTTTTGTGCATTTACTATTTTTATCAGACTTTTGTGTATATACTATTGTGATACTTTCAAATGGGTTAATTATGCCCTTTTTTAATATGTTAAAACGTACGCTTTGCCTTTAATTGCTTGTGTTTTGTTTGTTAAAATTGTCCGTCACATTCCCTTTGTTTGCTGCATCACGTATCATCCTGGAGCTAAAAGAATGTTTGAGTGCCATTGCCATTGCCATGATTGCGAAATGACGCGTACTGAGGATGCAGATCAGCAAACCAAGGATGTGCCATTGCAGCACGAGCAGAAATGCGGGTACTAGGATCGTATGCCAGGAGACGCTACATGAAACGAAATGAGTTCAAAGAGACCATTGGTATCAATACACACTTGAACTCACCGAGAGCAAATCCACACCAACGCGATCCAATTGTGGTACAAATTTTGATAATGGCTGGGGACGCCATTGTGGAAATGACGTTTTGTAATCTGGCAGTGTCGAGACTCCAGGCCACTGAGTCTCATTCGGCGTACCAAGCACACGAAAGATACGAAAAAGCTCATCAATCTCTGAGTCACCCGGAAAAAGTGGCTGTTTGTTGACCATTTCAGCAAAGATACAACCAATGGACCACGAGTCAACTGGTGTTGAGTAATGTTTAGCTCCTAACAACACTTCGGGCGCACGATACCACAGCGTCACAACTTCATGAGTATAACGTCTTAGAGGTACGCCATACTCTCTCGCAAGTCCAAAATCACCGAGTTTGAGATTGCCATACTGATCAATCAACAAATTCTGTGGCTTGAGATCACGATGTAACACTCGATTAGCGTGGCAGAACGCAATACCAGCTAAAAGTTGGTACAAATAGCTTTTAACTTGAAATACTTCCATTCGAGCTGGAAGATTCTCAAGACATCGCTTAAGATCCTGCTCTACAAACTCAAATACAAGGTAGAGCTTGTTCTTTTGGTACACAGCATCGTAGAGATACACAACATTTGGATGTGACGACAGTTCTTTAAGTAGCGAAATTTCACGCATTGCAGTAGACGGAATACCTTCTTCATCTGGTTCTAGACGAATCTTTTTAAGCGCCACAATGCGACCTGTTGTCAGATCACGAGCCTTGTACACAATGCCGTACGTGCCTTCACCGACCTTTTCCACTTTTTGATAGTTTTCCATTAAAAAGGGAAAAAGTACCTTTAGAAGTAGATAACAGTATGTTTTTATTACACTTTGACTGCTCGAGCAATATGAATGAGACGGTGATGCTATCGGATTGTACGACTGCGACACTGGGGACGATCAGTGCACTAAACAACGTCACAAGGCGTGGACGCTGTGTTTTGTGAAATTGAAAATCAGACACGCGATATTTTTAATTATTTTTATGAATTCTGGTTTGTCAAATAGAATATGGGTACAAAGCCACTGAGCTTTCGATGCCTGTATTTTCTATTGAAAATGCCGATTGTTATTTGAAGCACTAAAAGTAATTCACAATTCGAAGAAGCAGGCTTCGTTGTGGTTCTTAGTTGTGACCGGCAGATGTACTTTGTTAAGGTGACTGTATGTAATTGCCGTATCACCTAGATGCAGAGTGATCGCCCTGGTGAGCTGATTTGTAGGCTCGTTAATGTTGCGAGGAAGTGTTTGGAACCACGTTGCACCTTATATTGGATATTGTATGAACAATGGCTGTAAATGTCGTGTTATCCCGAACAGCAATAGTGCTACATCCATCATGGTACGCCGACCTCAATGATACATTATGAGGGGTGGTTAACATTATGTACATATACATATCCGTGCGCGAGAACACGAACATCTGATTTGAGTTAAGAAAGCATACGAGGTGCCCAACGATAGAGCATCATGACCATTCAAATTAGGAGTGTATGGTCAATGGTATTAAAATTTCAGTATCTCATCTCCTTTATGATGATGCCTAAAGACGACCGTGAGGTGGCTATCACGTCATCACCATAGCGAATGGCAATACAAGCAGGGAGCTTGTTGCAAAATATACGAGAAGAAGACCAAAGGGCGTCGTGCAACAATGTGCGACGCACAATCATTGAGGAATAAGAAATATGCGAAGCTATTTCATTGCCAAGTGTGAATACCTTAATCTTGCGTCTCTTGAAGGGGATGCTAATTGTAGCGTCAAAGGTTTTCTCCAGTGTCCCAACAAAGTCTTAACAGTGATAGCGTGAAACGCTGTTTGGTCTAAGACTTGGATATAAGATACTATTTCAATTTAGGTATATATTGGCTTGAATGTCATGAGCAATGTGTTAAGTGAAAACATTGGGTCTTCCCTATGGATTTTTTTGAATCAAAGCCAACCTCTGGCCAAAGCTTAAAGCGTTTCTCCTATTATCGTCAAGAATCCAATCTTGAATCGCTTTGATGTAGAGCATGGAATTGGCTACGATAGTTAGCAGCAATTTTCGGGCAAAGGTCGAAAGGCACGAGCTTTGAGCCGCAGTTAAAGAAAATTATTCTTGAGACAGATAAAATCAGCTTAGAGCTGGAAGTCTTCAGAAGTCGCTTCTGCTGCGACAAATAAAAACGACCAGATGCTGCAGTCTCCAAAGCTGAGACGAATTGTGGCGGCTAAGAGCAGCGTGTCCAGGGCAAACACATGCAAAGTTTTGCGACTTTGTGTTAATAACATATGACGGTATTTAACACTCCACCGTGCAAAATATTCATGACTTACGGTGTAGTGATTATACAGCGTTACGAGGGAGTGTAAGCCTTACATCTTTATGGTAGAAGCTCTGAATACCGTGAGAAGCATCCTCAAGGAACGATTGCAGCGGAATCACGAAACAGTGAGATCACCGGGTTCGTTCGAATCGTTACAAAGGGAGATCTGGGCTCCTCGTTAATTATGGTGAGTCCATAACCTAATAATTTTGAGTTCCAGGGCGGATCAGCTATCCTCAAGGACAATACACAATTTCTATTCTGTTAGTAAAGACAACGTGGTGACCGAGACTAGCCACAGAGTTCAACAGATATTAACTTTTCCTAAAATCAGGTATTGCGTACATGCCAATACCATAATAATCGTCACCACAATGCACATTGTACTAGATCTATCACCAGGTACTATCTAGGCATGACTTATCATAAAAAGTGTTTCTTCTTTTTCTGCGTAGAGCACAGAGCGATAGAGACTAAAATTACTTTCTTGCCGTCTATTTTTCGCATCATGAAGATAGCAGTAAATGACGAGTTACGCATGGTTTGAACAAGCTAAATGATGCAACAATTGTGGCGCAAACTTCGATTGCATAAGAATATGAAGCATGGTCAAGTGTATCCTATCCAGTGCTCTCATTTGATCGCCGGATCTAACCATCTACTCACGTAGGTCAATGATATCCCCCTCAGTGCAGTGAGTTCTCGATTGGGTTGTTGGGGGGCTGTCTTACTTACCAGCAAGGCTTTAACGTCTGTATGATCGCGACGACATATGGTTCATAGTCAAGCTGAGCACAGGAATCGGATATGAAGTCCATATCCAAAACTCGAGTGCTATGCTCGTGTATGCGCTCTAAAGGGCTGTTTGCCAAAATTAGACAAACTTGTATTTAACGATTACAAGATGCCCGTTTTGAGATCATATAGTATAAAGCCTTGTTGTCGAGAAGATCTCAATGAGATCAAATTTATTGCAGATCGGTCAGTAACACATTCCCAAAATGACTTCCGGATACTACTTGCACAGATATAGTGCAAGTCATCTACTGACCGATTCTCGAACTTGAAACAAAGTCGTGCCTCATTCTAGTAGAAAGCTCCTTGTCGTGGACTGGGTAGTTCTTTTCTGTTGGCTTCAGCTGTCGCGATTGAAACGACACGACACGATCGTTTCCTTCTGAGTTCTTTTGCAATAATGCAAACCCGATTAAGTACTCAAAAGCGTCAAACACCATGCTTTACGGCTTCGTACAATCTGAAAAAGCAAGTAATGGTGCTTCCATCAAGCCTATTTAGTTTGAGTGAATGCTTCTTTACAAGTGCATGACCATTCCCATAGACATCCTTCTCCAGCAAGTTGATAGTGGGCGCACCATTTCCGCGTAGCTACGCGAGTTGCAATGCAGGTAATCGGATAAACTAACCCATGTCTTCGAATTCGCCACTCCACGATCGCTTTGACCTTCTTAGAGTCTGCACGAAAACGCTGTTCACTTACATAACAGCCGAAGATTGGTACTTCGTTAGCACCGAGAATACCCTTCGCAAGGTTCGTTTGCATTGAATCTTGACGCATACATTCTAGCACCGCACGGAGGTGGTCCAAAAACATATTTTCGGCAGATCTGCCATCTTCGTCCTTCAAATGAAAAAAAAATATTGTTAAATTGGTCTGTGCAAAGCGTCGCAGTGGTCAAAATAGATGAGAGATCAATCGATTGAACGTTGCAGAGACATTTTGTTCGAAACAGATGAGAGACCAATCGATTGAACGTTGCTGGGCCATTGTGATAGTATTGTGGCATCAGAAGCCACTCACTCTCATAACATACCGGACGGTGCAGTACTAACAGCCCTCGAAGGGACGTCCTCCTCTCTCATCAAGATTTGGTAATATCCATCAACTAAATCAAGTACACTAAACTGCGTACAGTTGGACATACGGTAGATGATGACATCTTTACGCGAATTTGGCGTTTTAGCGGATATCGTTTGCAGATCGACTTGCTATAGACGTAAACGACACTCCATTTACCATTTGGTTTGCGTCGCGCGCTGTGAGGGCACTAGCTCTATCTCAACGAATCAGCAGCTAGTATTTAAGCAAGGATTTCATCGATATGCTTACATGACAGTGACCACTGTCGAAGCACTGCACGCATTTAACTAGGTTCACGATCAATTTTGTATTGAACGCCAAGGCCAGAGGGCGGCTGCGCGCCAAGGACGTCATCTTTGTATTCCATAACAAGTGAATAATAAGGATCAGTTAGATTCTTCAAAATAGCAGATCCCTGCGTGATTCCACACGCTGTCAGAATTCTTTGCGAGCCAATTTATCCATAAGTGATGGTGAGCGTAGTTCCGCTGAATCGACCTTTGTTTCTAGAAACACGACCTCCGCAATACCATCACACTTAAGGTGGAGTAAGAAGTAATCGTAAGTGACTTTCCCAAGCTGCACCATCTCTTCCATCGTCGGTAAGGGTGCCAAAAGAACTTATATTTTGGCAACCGGTCGTTGAAATCACAACACGTGGACCAGCATAATCGCATGTTACAGTTCCATCATATGGAGTGGTACGCTAGACTATCTCACCCGGGTACTCAACTTCATTCAGAGGGCAAGAATATGTACTGCGTCCCACAAAATTCAGTTGATTCGTTTAAACGTGAGTGCGCTCAACCACACAACAGATCGTAGAATCACCTTTGTGATCAGTTATAATCATGACCCACCATTCGATTAAACCACTGTATTTCTGATATATCGGCATATACAGCCGCAGTCGATTCCTTTGAACTTTCAGTACACACGTATTGACAACGTTCGTCCATCTTAAGTGAAGGCAACAACCTGCATCACCCTCTTAAAAACTCTCTCCGTTGGGCAAACCATAATGCTCACCAACGCGTTATTCCTTTTCAGGTGACCAGTTTTGGGCACCACTTGATTTGTCGACACCCTTGCTGAGGGACCACCTGTAGTCACTCCATACGACTCCGTATCTTCCCTGACCAGGGGAATTTCAATTGCATGGCATTAACCAGTGATGTCTGGATCATTCCCAACAGCGCACGACTGCCGAGATCTTGAGCGCTTCTTGTTAATTACTCCTAAGAATTTCACCCACGCCTGGAGAACAATTCTCAATCGTTTTCGATCGCCAATCGATCCATGGCTTGTCCTTCTCGAGCCACGGTATACCTATAATCAGGTAACATTTTTGTTCATCTCGAGGAGTTGAAGTCTTCAAACTTCAGTTGAAGATCATAACTTTCTTTGCAGTGACCACTACACCAGTGACCAACTTCACTGAGATAAAGCCATTGATTCTATCTAGTGCATTCAAAATCGCTAAATTCTTTTCAGTAATGCTTTGCTTTCGCGCGTAAACGCGCCAGAGTCAATCAAGACTTTAAAATGGACGACCGTAACCCTTTACACTCGATGTGACCACGAGGAGATCACTTCGGCGTTAAAGGTAGACAATGGTCCTTTCAAGGCTAGACCCTCGTGAGTGATTATACCGCCACTCTCACAAGAGTTTATATTTACCGAGCTAACCACTCTGCGTCTACTGGGTACCGGCGTTTCCCGAAAGCTGCGTGACATTGGTATCACGTGGCTCGGAACCAATACGACGAGAACCATATTAAGAGGTTCGTCTCCCACGTGGACAATCACGGCGGATGGGACCAGATTGTCAACTTCCATAACAGCGAATTTGATGCCTACAGACAGTCACCGCACTAAGATCTATTAATTCTAAATTTTCACTAGTGGCAATCACCGCTTCCATCGGATCGACCGATTGACCTCGTGCTTGACGTTGACAGTATTCCTCACGGAAAGGAATCAATTTTGCATCATCCAGATTCGTCAGATTTTGGTAGAAAACTTCAGTCTTAGGAGGATCATAAGTGAGTTCCTCTGTAAACACAGAACCCATCACTGCCTCTGGCTGTGGATCGCTTGCCATACTGGCACGAAGCTCACGGAGCTTCTGTGCATAGTCGTTCAATGTAAAACTGTCTTGACGGAATGACAAAATTCCGACCGCTGTCGAAATGCCACATTTGGTGGAAGGAACATCGAATCCATGATCATCTCCAACGCTTGCCATGTGGCAAAATAGCTGGAACGGTTGACTTTTCATGTCATCGCACAATTCTTCGCACGGCCATCCAGATGGAAGGCCGCTTGACTGCGGTCATCACGAAAAAAAAGCATTGCGATAGCGATGTCAATTTCTCGCTGCCAGAACGCACGATCTTCTTCGTTTTGCGAAAGCTTTTCATTTTGACTTCACGAGACGTTCCATAGTATCGAATGTGCTACCACCAATTGTGGTGGAGGCGACAGAGCTGGCGCGAGTATGTTCTGAGATAAAAATCCCAATAATCCTTGCGCATACGCAGCAAATTTTGCTAGGCGTTGAGTGATCGCCTCTTGATCCAATTGGATCATATCGGAGACCGGGTGACCTCCGATTAAAGCTCGCAGCTTCACCACACACTCCCATTACGAGTGTGTTAGGAGCGAACATGTCTCCCTGTTGATACGAGGACGATGGTGTCCACATTATCCACCGATGAATCTATCGAGGTAGTCGGCGTTGGAATGATCACTAGTGCAACCAATTGCAGCGGGAATTACCCGTTTGTGTACGAACACATACTTAGGCAGGTTTAGGTCAATTGACACGCCTCATTGCGTGTTGCTCACTTCCAGCAGGTCGTTGCCTTCCGTAAAGATGAGGAAAGGTGAAGTGACATTCATTATTATAGCAACTAGGCTTTTAATCTTCCTAGCTTGATAATTGCCTCCAATAGAATCAATGTATTTAGTTAATGTTAACCACACACAGAGCTATGTGCTTCTCCCAACATACAGACATTACAGTTTACATTAGTGCCAGGACCCTTAGTGACAACGGTAAGAGAACACTACACCCGATGTGACTGTGTGTGGCACATCCCGAAGCTTTGGCGCAATTAGTTCTTCGTTGTCACCAAACCCCTCTTCATCTCACGGAATATCATCGAAACGGCAATATCGCCCGTTCCAAGCGCTAACACAAGACCATCGTCTGAGAAGTGCACGTTATCGAGGCTTCACCGCCTGATTAAAAAGAAATATCTAAATCCACATGTGAGCAGCGGAGGAATTAAGTACATTACTCTTTAGACAATCGTAAGAGAGCTCTTGCTCACATATCACCACACAAGCATGTTCGTTTTCTCGCCACCAGCGTTGACACCATGATCCTGAATAGCCTAACGCACATCACGCTCTGTTAGGCTGCTAGCGTCAGCGATAAGATTGCGGTTGGTTAGCGACCACGTCTTGTACTTACCACCTTGAGAATTAGTTTATCAGTAATTGAAGTATTAAACAGACCAGTATTTTTGATTCTAGTGCTTTCCAAGTGTTTCAGCCTCCTTTTAATTTAGCTATTTGGACTCTTCACCTTGGTACGAGCTTTCGCAATTTCAACGTCCACTTGGTTTCGCGACAGACCTTCACTGTACTAACGAGATCGCTAAGATTACTTTAATACATGGTGATATACCTATCGAGCTGGTAAACGATCTTCTTGATTATCAGACGTGGATAACTTGAGCATTTTGGAAAGGCCAGATTTTTCGGAGAATTCTGCACATTCGTGGTTGTAGCGCTCGTGTATTTAAAGGAAATCAGGGTAGCTAAAATGTGGTAACACAACCAAACCAGGAGACGCTAACGTGGGCCCAGAGAAGATTTCTCTTTTCTTTTTAACAACCTTGGAATCAGATTATCCGCAGATATAATATCTATGCTGCCATACGATAAATTGAGAACAAAAAAAATACGTGGGATTCCGTCATCTAACCGGCTTTTAAAGCAGCAAATTGTCACTGTACGTGATTTGAACTTCATCTGTTGGTGAAGCTATATAAAATTAACTACCTCGAAGTCGCAGTGATTAAAAAACTGTTGGTATCAGGCATCATATTTGCAGTTATGTGGGCGACACATACATCGCAAACAATGCGATTCACACATGAGCCGTCTTTCGGACAAAAGCCGTGCACGAACGGAATATCACCGATATCCGATCAACTAGACTGGAATGTACACCGACAGCGGCTATTTGTCAGATCTCTAAAAACTCTCGTGGTTATTCTCTGGCACGTAACCACCTGATCTACCTCCAGAACATCGATTCTGGTCCATAAATATGTGGTTTATTAATTTACGACAGCGGATCCACGTGCTTAAAGCCTTTCAGTTCCCGTGTTATGCATACAAACATCACCCATCTTGACGAGGTACACTTCTAGTTCATCTGCTTTTCACACGATCATCTTTTCCTTCTTCGTACTCCTCGTCACTTTAATTTGACTTCAACTCAACTCCAAGCTGCGTCGCAGAGATAACAAAGTGCCGTCATGAAGAAATGAGGAAAACATTGGTGGTCTTACTCAGTGCCATCCTCGCGCCAGTCGGACTCAGTGATAAAAAATTATCATCACAAAAGGTCTGATCGTTCTTTTGATGAAGAGGCATTGATTAGTTGCTCTCAGTCCTGGGTATCAATCGAGCTTGTTTAACAAACGTCCGTTTGCTGTACACAACGCATAATCATGAAGCAAATGCAGCATTTTCGTCAATTTGGTTGCTGTATCACCATCAACTACTCAACTTAAGCATAGAACACTTTCAGTTGCCCTATTATAGCATCAGCATGTCGTAG